ATATGTTCACATTATGTAATACACTTTTTGCACCACGTAATAAAGCACTGACATAAAGGTAAGATGTGTTTACCTTACATAATGATGCCCTCGCCGTAAAATAAAGATAAATCCATATCACGTAATAATGCTTTGATATAATAGAAATATACACTCTCAAAAGGAATGGGGTTTTGACTTCATGTAATGATAAGTTGAATTATAAAACACAATTTACTTCACGTGATACAGTTTTGACCTCACATATTAAAGAAATGAAATGATGTAAAGAAAAATTCATTTCACGTAATAAAGTTTTAACACAATGTAAACACATTATCACTTCACATAATGAATTTTTTAAGATATATTTACATAATCTCATAAAAAATGGACATAACGTAAAGATATGTTCACATCACGTAATGATAAATTGACATAATAAATGCATAGTTGTATGCTATAAGGCAGTGATGGCGTTCCATAAACAAAACACCAATTCTTCCTTTTAAAATTTATTTGTTCCTCCTTTTAAAATCAGAACGGTCGCCCGTGTGGCGCAGTGGTTAGAGCGTCTGCTCTAGAGTCGCGAAATAATGAGTAAATCTTTACGTCGCGGGTTCGAATCCCACTTTGGGACGTGGAGACCTGTACTTCGGATGAGACCGTATAAACCGAGGTCCATTGTCGCAGTAAGTACTGGCACGAAAAAGATCCCTCCCTGTTCAATGGCCCTGAGTGCTGAGTATAGGACAGAATTTGCAGCTCTCCACCGACAGTGGTGGCGTCTCCATATGAGTGAAAAATTCTCGAGAGGGACATTAAAGAATATGCATAAAGAATGTACAATCAATCAATCAATAAAATCAGAACGAACAGTCAAGTAAATGTTCTAGCTGCTTTCAGAAACTTACATGGTGTCGATGAAGGTAACCAGGTAAGACTCTGAGAGGTTGTCTATTTATTGTGGCAAGCCTTTACTGTCATGCAATACATCTACTATACTAGAATGTATGTTAAGCATCAATATTATGTCATCCACTTGACTAACCTTATATCCGATTTTTTGTCCCCCTCTTGAAAAGTGGGGGATATTAATCTGGCTCCGTCCGTCCGTCCGTCTTTCTGTCTGTCTGTAACGCTTTCGTTTCCACACGATATCTCAAGAACCCTTTAAGCTTTTGTAATGAAATTTAATTTATGTATAGCAATTTTGAGGTCTCATAAATTCGCAAATTCTGTCTGTTATAACACTTTCGTTTCCACACGATATCTCGGAACCCTTTGGGCTTTTGCAAATATCTTACATAACAACTCCCTGAAGACCCTTATTGATTTTGAGGTCAAAAGGTCAAAGTTCAAGGTCGTAAATTTATACATTCTGTTTGTATGAAACACTATCATTTTTGGGCGATATTTCAAGAAGATTTTGAGCTTTTGCTATGTATTTTATACCAAAACTCCCTAGGACCTCTCTCACTCTTCTATTAGTATTTATTGTATTACATGTCGCTATTTTTAGCACAGGGACATGAGGAGAATTATTACGTATAAAACAGGTTCTCGGTGGACTTTGTATTCTTATTATTACATCTATTAGAACTTTTTAATAAAGGTTAGATTAGACACCATGCATTGTGTAAAATTTTGACAATATCGAAGGTGAATATATACATGTATGTCACTTCATGTTTGTATACAATTGTCGCCATGTTACAGCGGCTCCGTGGTCTAGTGGTATGTCTCTCACTTCACATGTGAGAGGGCCCGGGATTGCATCTCGCACGATCCATTTTTTTTAAATACTTTTCTTTTTTTAACTAAACGATAGTATTCAGCATGTGAAGTGAAAAAATTATGAGGTCTGGCTTGTACAAACTCATAATATCATCATTACAGTGTGATAAATATTCCATATAAAATAGAATCTTCTACAAACATAATAAAGAATAATCCATCAAACCTTTATATCCATATTGGCATATCTTATTTGCTTCAGTATACATTTAATAATTCTACAAATTCAGTGAAGGGGATCCGAACCCCCGACCCCCGAACTGCACATGGTTTACTTTCCCCTAAGCGGGAGACACAAATTTTCTGAATTAGCTTGTTCAAGAAGATTTTGAGCTTTTGCAATGTACTTTTATACCAAAACTCCCTAGGACCTCTCTCACCCCTCTCAAAGTGCCCCGCCCCGTTTGTTATATTAGTATATATTTTATTACATGTCGCTATTTTTAGCACAGGGGCATGAGGAGAATTATTTCGTATAAAACATGTTCTCGGCAGACTTTATTATGTCGCCCCGAACGAAGTCGGGCGACATATTGCGATTGTATGCATGTTTTTGTTCTCCAGGCTGTTTCTCGGAGATGGCTGGCGCAATCTTCTTGAAATTTTCCTCAAAGGAGGATCGCTGGTTGTAGTTATGTTGTGTGGTCATTCAGCTTCAAAATGGCTACCGTTGCCATGGAAACCTGCAAAAAGCGACGAATTTTGTCCGCTAGTGTTCGTTCTGGTCCCTTGAACATTCTTCATGAAATTTTATTGTTGTAATGAATAGTATCTGTAATTGTGCTCATTGGATTTAAAAATTGGAAATTGTCAATAGCTTCCATGGAAACAGGGGAAAGTGAAAATTCTTTAACTTTGGTTTTTAAATCAAAGTACTGAAAGTACTGATACGAGTTGATGGTTGTCCAACTAAGCTAATGGGTATTGTTTTAGTGATGAAAAAAAATGAATGTCTTGTCCAGTTCGGGGCGACATAGGCTATTGCTTGCAATAGCAGACTTTCTAGTATTCTTTTTACATCTAATAGAACTGTTTAATAAAGGTTAAATTAGACACCATGCATGCATTGTGTAAAATTTTGACAATAATAAATTACGGGTATAATACCTTCCTGAAATCTTTAATATGCTCTTGGCACCACTTGGTGGCACCATCACCACTTACTGGTATTACTGAGAGCGCTAAGTAATAGTCTTATAGACCCATTATGTTGCCCCAGTAATAATGTTTGAAAAATACTTCAACGTCGTTTACCCCCGTACATTTTTTCGGTTTACAATCGGTAGTATAACCATGCCAAAAATTCAGGTTAGCTTATTCGCCCTGTCTTATTTCTAAGGTCCCTGAAAGAGCTCAAAAGGGATTCTTCCTGAATAAGTTAACCATTTCCTAGTGCTTGTTTGTTCGAGTGGTTAAAGATGGGGAAAAAATTATTTCTTATTTCTTCAGTTTTAAAAAAGAATAATTTTTCTTATGCAGATGAGCGTGTCTGCCTCCGAGTGTCTGATTTATTATGTAATTAACTGTCGCATTAATTATCCAATCATTAACCATTAATTTTCTAAAATAAAGTGTAAAAACAGTATTGTGTCTGAGTACTCTCGGTTCTTTGATTAATTTCCTTATTGGCTGCTAGCTTCTACAGGCTTACAGGTAGTGGCAGCTGTTATTGGCTGCTAGCTTCAGCCTTGTCTTGTCATCGTTTGGGATTAACTACGCAGTAAAATAGCTTGCCGTAAGGAACATGTACATGTAGGACAGCCCTCGGCTTAAACATCCCAACATTCTGTTTTTATAGAAAATCAAGCAAATACAGAGAAATTCATTCGAATTTATTAAGATATGTCAATTTTTATGTGAATCCGAATGTAATTGTCATTGAAACATACAACATGTACAACCTTATGTTTAAAGAAAAAAGATAGATATGAAGTTCATGCAGACGGCAATGGGGAATTCAGGGGTGGGGAGGGGGTCGAAAATTATAATTCTCCGTTTATTATATTTTATAACTGTCGAAATATTGCCAAAATGAAATAAACTTAATCCAAACCCTGTCTTTAACAAAGGTGTGAAATTATACATAGCACAGTGACAGGAAATCCCTCTCTGCTTGAACGCGCATAATACACAGGGATTCAACAGTTACTAGGGAGACCAAGATTAGTCCGTGTAGCTACATGTACACTGTGTATAAATGTACTAGATTTACCGAGGACAAAATAGGTTTACTAACCAATGCTAACTGCACATACAATGTAGTTCCGGTATTGTTTTGGTGGAACTTTATGAATTGCATTTTCAGTAAATTCTTGTGTACAAATATTTTGTTTTAATAGAATTTTGCATGAATAAAATTTTGGGGTTTTTTGCACTTTTTTTGGGTTGAATTTTCGTACATTAACTTAAAACAATATTTTTAAAATTCAACTTGGCTTATACTATCGATATTGGGAGAGTAAAACCCTATCCAAAGTTGTGACTGTGCCGAAAGAGTACAAGTTTTGTGTAAGACAAATTAACAGTGTCCCAGTAATTGGGGGGGTGGGGGGGTGGGGGGGGTGAAGATGATTGTTTCATCGAAATTACATTTTTTCTGCTCGTAAAATTGAATAATTAATTACAAATATGTATAAAATTATATGATCAATAAAATGTGAAGCATGTTATACGACAGTTTTACTGACTCGCTTTCGGGGGGCACGCACGTACGTGTACATGGTGTAGAGCTAACTTGCGTTTTAGACCAAGACTGTTTTACACCTTTGATCGGTAAGATGCATCGCGACGGTGTGATTTACCTGGATTGCTGAACCGCCGGGCACTTGGTTATTAACTGAGACACCTGTACTAACCGCATTCAGATTCATACCGCGGGGGTGCGCGGTAAATGCATAAACCGCGGTGACTGTACTGTATGTGAACAACTCCATATAAATGACCATAAAGTCTAGTTTAATTTTGTTTTTAACATTTTGTGTCATTAGTTAATTTTCGTGGGTTCGGTTATTGACGGTGGATTACGGATATTTAATTGTACAAATTCAACGCTCATTGTACTTTCATCAAGTCATTGAATCAATACATTAGATGAACGGGTAGTCCAAACATGACATGTTTGGGGTCATTTTTAAGAAAAGTGAAAATCCGAAAATATTTCTTAACAACATTTTTTACTCTGTGGGTCATCGCATGGATTTACTTGTACTCTGTTGTGTCAAAAGAATTTCAAGTGATTGAAAAAAATGGAAAACAAAATATTCAGAAATTAAAAGGAAAAAATAAAGAAGGTATGAAAGTGCAACTAATTAAAGACTTCAAGTCCACTGTAAGTACACCATCTCCCCTCAAAGAAAATGGCATTAGGTTGTATTTGTGGTCAACGTTGGACTCGAGAGAAGTTCAAAAAAGGAAAATGAATTTCAACCCTCGCCAATACCCTTTAGGAGTAGACTTTTCTCAATTAACAAAGGCTGTATTAGATGGTAAGAAAATAGAGAACCATCGAATCAATCCGCATCCTTTTAGGTATGTGCATATGGCTGCTGACAGGTGTAAGGGAAAGAAGTTACAGTTAGTGATTCTTGTAAAATCAAAAGCATCAAATTTTGAAATGAGAAATGCCATTCGGAAGACGTGGGGAAATATAACGGATAGTAATATAACAATAGTGTTCATGCTTGGTCAAATTGCTGGCTTTGAGGCTAAAATCAGTAATGAATCGAATTTCTATGCAGATATTGTTCAAGAGGACTTTATAGATAGCTACAAGAACAACACCCTGAAAACAACCATGACAATTCATTGGGCAGCCCAGTTATGTCCAAATGCAGATTTTAACCTTTATGTTGATGATGACGTATTCGTTAATCTAGAAAACGTCAAAAAGTACTTAAAAGGTAAAGAAAGAAGATGGGGGTTATTTGCTGGTCAGCTACTGCGATTCTCAACTCCTTACAGGGATGAAGGTTCCAAATGGTTTGTTTCGTGGAAGGAATATCCTTTCGACAAATACCCTCCATATCTTGGAGGCTTCTTTATTCTGATGTCACAGGATGTGACGTCGTATTTCAGCATTGCTATTCCATACGTTAAAACAATTCCCATCGATGATGCATATCTCGGTATTGTTGCTGCTAAACTGAATATTATACCTAAGAGTTGTCCTGGCTTAGTGAGAAATATGCCTAGATCTGTGACATACGCTGCTGTTCTAATGAATTTTAAAACAGTGATTGGATATCATTTGATAACTTCACCGGAATCCTTGTTGGCAACATGGAATCTTTATAAACATGTGAAACGAACACACTGAATTTATGAGTTTGTCAGACTTTGCAATGATAATTTTTTGTGGTCAGTCCTATTTTGTCAGTTTTTTGTGATATAGTTGTTATTTGTTCGTTAATAATTTAGAACAATATTTTTTTTACAATGTACTATGAGTTGGTCCTCTTATAATTATATAAAGAACTTTCTAGCCATTTATTGGCTGCGAATAAAAAACCCCAAGGACTTTTCCCAATTTTTGTTTTTAACTGTAACAGTTCTTACTTCAGACTTGATGGATGATTAATATGCTATTGTTTTGAGCGCCTACCGTGAGACTAAGTCTTGGTTTTTAAGGTATCATCCGAAATACTAGTAACTTTCACTTTTCATATCAGGCGCTTGGCAAAGGAACAATCATAGGTTTGACGCCGTGCAGCACATGAGAATCGAAAAGGGTCCCCGCATTCCCCTGTCACAAAGCGAACTCCTTTCATTGGATTATTACGTGCATACACCTTTTTATTCATGAATAAAACTCAAGGTTTGTATGCTTATAATTGGCCTAGTTCTCCATTATAATTGTGAAATTATTGCTTCTCTAGGTGCTAAATTCATCTCATGGAAACTTTATTACACAGTACCTCGTAAGACTGTGATATTTTTTGTCCACGAGTCCTAATTAGTTCCAGTTCAGATGGTTCAAAGGGGCTGTAGTCTAAGAGAATGATATTATGGTGGACGCCTTTTCAATAAAGAGACAGCGAAAACAATAAAAAAATGTTTCAAAACAGTTCATTGTTTTTGATCACAATTACTTTGATTATTTTGGAGGATTTTTTATTCCATAATTCGTAATGTAGCTGCTGTCCGAGGTTCAGGTTCATCTTTCATAGTTAATCTTACATCAGATGTGGTCTATGATATTGTTTATTAATGTGTTGAGATTTCCAATCTGGTTGATCCAAGGGTCTTGTGTTGGAATTTTAATTACAAATAATCAATTTTCGTCTTAAAATGATTATATATGAAGATTACACAAATATGACACTTTCATTACTTAGTGGAAAATACCAGACAGATTCTAGTTTATTCAAGCCGGATGTGCCAATCACGATGTTTAGTCTTATCTAGACTAGTAGTCAGTCTCTAATGACAGAAGGTACACGAATTTTCCTTATTCAGGCCGAGCAATAATCCACTGCTACCAGAAACTTGTCCCCCTCTTTGGGTGGTATCAAAATTGGAAGCCAGGATATATAGTACTTTGCAGTATATTCGTTACTACTCATTCATTGTAACAAGACTTTAAGATCACAGTCAGACAATCCACCTGGTATTGCTAGAATAAGCATGGTAAACCACAATATACTAGCCTATTCATCCATCTAACTTTATCCCCGGAATACCTTTCTTCTATCGCTAAACAACATGAACCTCGTAGCTTAGATGCTCTCGCTTATATACATGTACCTTTGTTTTAGGTTACGTGATGTTCCTCAGCAACACTAAAAGTCAAGCCTTTCTTGTATTTTTCGAATACATAACGTTCTAAATCGTTACACTGCCAAATCTTTTAATGGCATGCAAGCCTAAAAGCATAATCGTCAAAGTTGTTCATTTTTACTGTAGACAGAAAAAGTGATCAATTACATGACCACATTTATTAAAAGTTGCAACAAATTTATTTTTGCATTACTCATTGAACACAATCTTTTCTTTGGTGACAAACCTTATTTCAACACTCATTTCCATCCAAATATTTTTGAAGACCTTGGAATTGATAACTCTCTGTATGAGTTCAAATATCTGATTTCTTTTCTACTGGTAAACAAACAGTCTTGGTCAAAAATAACTTGTCTTTCCTTTTCTTTCTTTCTGTTGCCTAGATTATTCCGGCCCTTGCTACTTTAAATAGACTCTGCCAATAGAACGTAAATTAAGGTGAGTTTTCGCGAGGATCGAAAGATAACATACATTTTCTCCTCAGAACAGAAAGATTCCCCTTCAGTTTTACATCCAAAATGTGCTTTAGTATCACCCAAAACCTAACCTGTGTTTTCCTTGAATGCATGTTACGAGCATTCTCAATGCATTCTTGTTTGTGGATATCTCCTAAATGTAACTTTAGATCTGGTACTTAAAATCTAGGAGGATTTGTGATTTCACTTCCCAACATGTACAAAAGCATGTAAGGGGTCATCCATGTACTTTCCTGCCCGGAAGACCTGTAAGCCAACATTAAAAAACTGAAAAAGGACGTCCTGGCAGTCAGAATAATGTTAATTTACAAATCCACTGAGCAATGCAGTTAGCTATTATTTTACCAGCGACTGTCTTAGTCTCAATATTAAAATGGGAAACACTCAGTCCCCTTTGTATGGTTCGCGAAGACTTGAATACACCGATTTCAATCACGGGTAATTAACCAAAGATGTCAATGGCCATCTGCTACATAGGGTATCCCGAACTCACTAGTTCTATTGGCTCTTCATAAGAATAGTAGACCCTTTCCTTTTTGTAATGTTTCACAACCTGTTAAGCATTGGTGAACATTCTGTTTGTAAACCTCTTCAATATTATCATTGCCAATATATTGTAAAGGCAGAGAAGACAAGCTATCATCATGAGAGAAGTTTAGAATTGTTCTTTTCTCCTTCTGATGGGAATTACAATCTGAAATTTCTGTTTGTTATCACTTCTTCCCATTTACTGTAGCGAATACCTTCGAGCAAAGCTAACCTATGTCCTACTGGGAACATAAAAATTTATATCATCGATTCCCTTATATGATATTATTTTTGGGGCGATCATGAGTGATCAATTATTGTTAATAGGTATCATTCTTCATCCTAAAAATCACCCAAGAAAATCCCTGTAAAAATCTTCCGATCTATCTCCCTTTGATTCTAGTGTTTACACTTCATAAATACATGTATGGTCAGTCTTGAATGGCTTGCATGGAATACTAGTATTGCGACTTATGCCATGCGCATTTTTGTGAAGTCTTCAAGACCTATGCTCAATGTGAACGTCATGACTTGATAGCACTTTAATTCATCGAGCTAACTGCCTTTTGAATCCTTGAAATCCTTTAACCCTGCAGCCAATAAAAATGTAAAATTCATTACATGTAGCATATGTCTTCTTTGGTTCTTCTTATCACAATGATATCTGACACGGTCTCTTCTTTCACGTCTCATCCTAACATGTCGTCAACATGCTTGTCCATCTCTGCTTGCAGATAAACGCCTAAAGATGCTTTTCTTGTTTCGATTCTATGTTCTGTTTTGTCCTTCTTAAACCTATGTCAGATGCAATAAACAACCAGGAGTATAGCAATAGAAATTCTGCAATTCGTTTAGTTTTGCAATGGAAGTACCACCAAGCATAAATACTAATAAAAATCAAGAAATTAACAAAATTTTGAAACGAGATCCTACCGCTAGCTGCCACAAAATTGTGTAACGTGTAAATGTTTTTGTTCCAGGTTGATTCCAGGGTCTCGGATTTTGATTGATAAAAAAGTATGTTCCTCTAATTGAATGTTTGAAATTATTGCCTTGCAAATACATTTTATATACAAATATGGTCCTCACCAAGGGGAAATCACACTTGGCCGTCGGCGAGATACATCTGTCTGTCCTTTTGAAATCAGAACGAACAGTCAAGTACATGTTTTAGCTGCTATCAGACACTTACACGGTGTCGATGAAGGTATAACCAGCAAGACCTGTTTACCCATATCGTTGTCTCTCAGTATTTTTGATTAGATTTGTCCGTGAGATTTGGCATTTTCCAGTAAGATTTCACCTTCCATCAATTTTACATATATTAATAGTGAACAACTGCATATCTGATTACAAAAACATGGTTTAACAACATGATTTTTGTCATTTAATAATAATACAACAGCGTTTTGGCAACCTGGCATCGCTTATGAGTTTGAAATCTCTCTCTTTTTTAGCACTAAAAAGCGTGAAACTAAGACAGATCAAAACACAAAAACTTACTGTTAAATTCCAAATGAACGTATACCTTTACTGTCATGCAATACACCTACTATACCAGAATGTATGTAATAAGCCTCAATATCATGCCATATCCACTCAACTAACCTTATATCCGATTTTTTTTCTTTCTTCTGTCATTGGACTTTAATGCAAAATTTCATTGCGAAAGCTCGAAGGGTTCTCGAGATATCGTGTGGAAACCGAATGATCTTTTAAAGATAGATAGCTGCACATTTTCTCGTTTCAATACTGAAATAAATAAGTAAATTGGACAAATTACCATTTGCAAGTGATTTTACAAAATGCTGTTTTCTATGGAATATATTAGAGAAAAAATAAAATTATCTTCACTTTTGGCACACAACTGTACTTTAGAAAAATAAGCCCTATCAAACCATAGTCCTAATACTAGTATGTACACAAGTTTACGTGAAAGAAGTGTTCTTACTACATATATAAAAACTGAATTACTAAAAAGACTAAAATAAATACCGGGTATTGACATTGCAAATTAGAGCTTTACATCAGCTTTTAAATAAACTCCTTTTAAAATTGTTTTTATTCATTGTATATATAAAATAATTTTAAAATAACTCTGAAAATTCCTGGGGCGGGGCGGACCCCCTTCTTGATCTGCGCATACATCATGTATATGTATCCGAATGGCGATTTAACGATTGTGGCGAGTCTGGATTATAAATTGATTCCGGATATTTGCATTTTGTTCTTTTGATTTTTGTATTTAGAATTTTGATGACATCCGCTGTAAACAATGTCTGGTGGCGCAAATTTTAAAGAGGTGAGATGATAAATTAATTAAAACCCTAACAACTTCATCTATAGATTATTTTCCTTGCGTAGATTTTTATGACGTGTTTTAATATGATTTTTTTTTTTAGAGAACTGTACAAAATATTTTGCTGCAATTCTTTAGAGATGACAGAACAAAAGGTAAGTCTTAATGTAGCTACACAATAAGGAGTCGATGATTTATTAGACTTGCTCAATGTTTTAGTGCTTTCTTTCATACTTTTTGATAACGCCAAACATGTTTTAATAAAATTTAACTTTGGTAAGAAAACACAGGACATATAGACGCTGACTAGCCTGTTTTAAAATCAATCCTGCAGATGTATTTAATAAAAGTATCATGATTTACTAACTTTCTTTTTAGTAAATGCAGAGGCACTGAATTTAATGACAGAACTTCTTAACATATTTGTGTCTGGTAAGTGAAACTGTTTAGTCTATCATGGATAAAAGAGGAGTGAATAATGAAGATATCAATCAGGGTTCTACTTCCAAAAATGAAAAATTGGGGGTGTAAAGTGGGATCATTTATGATAATTAAGCATAGACTGACAGTGCTGATAAGTGGTTTTCTCTCTCACAATTCCATCTGGGTTTTTTTTTAAGATAATTTTTTCAATATTTTTCATTTAGTACACTTTGAAATTTCTGCTTTTCTTATGCTTACACGAAAGTTTACATTGTGAAAGTGCAAGAATATGTGTAATCTGAGATTCCTGTGACTCTTACCCCTGCCTCTATATTATGGGGTACTACTAAACAGAGAACCCTAGAGAACTCTAGAGAACCTTAGAGAACCCTATTGATTTTTAATAATAAATTGTCTGTAAATGAAATATTTATAGTTTAGATAACTAATATATCATGCTAAAAGAATATTAAATTTAAAAAATATATATTTGACAAGTTTTTGCTCATTTAAAATAGTACTATAATCTCTTAAAATTTCATCATAGCTTTTATGATAAAACTAGTAAGAAATTAATTAATATGTTTAAGATCAGAGTAATTGCTTAAGAATTATACATAGTCATTAAAATTAAATAAAAAATAATGTGAAAAATAATTGGAAAATTGCTTGATTAAAATTATTATTGCGATAAACAATGTTTTTTAAATTCAATCGGGATCGGGATGTCAAAAAATATTTCGACATCTATTTTGTTACGTTTTTCCGATGAAAACTTCCATAAAATAACTTTCTAATTGATTTTATGTATAAAATACTATTTATTTAGTACAACTCAAATCAATTGCGCATAAAACTTATGAAAATTCACCATATAAACTTAGGGTTCTCCAAGGTTCTCTAGAGTTCTCTAAGGTTCTCTGTTTAGTAGGACCGCTATATTATGACTGTGCAGAGGGAGACCCATACATCAAGTCATAATATAAAACAAGGGATTAGAGTCACAGGAATCTCTGATTAGGATATGTGTCAATCAAACACATCTTGATATCTTTAGTTGTAATAATTTCCAGTTAACAAGGTAAGTGTGTTAATGACTATATAAAATGTTTCTCTAATTCATTAAATGTCATTTTCAGAAGCTGTCCTGAGAACAGTTAATGAAGCCAAGGTATATATATACTTCTTTTTATAATCCTTGCTAGATTTTTCACCACACAGTAAGAGCAACAAACTAGATTCAATCTAAAAATACTTTTTAGGGAGATAAATATGTTACAAGTTTGGAAAAATGCAGGTACCCTTGTAAACTTTGAATTTTTATTTTTATTTTTGAAGTGTGAGGTTATAAGAATTTAGAACTTTCATTACTATATTTGTACCAGTAATGAACAGTTAATACCTATATATAGCCCGTATATCTGAAGAGAGATGATTAGATTGAGACTTTTTTAGTCCATGGTGGCATCCTCTTTGTCCTGCTGGCTGTAAAAAACTGTCACTTTGTCATTGCAGCTCTATTTTTAAGGTAAAAATGATCTGTGAAACTGATAATAAGCATTTTATGTCTTACAGAGGGAAAAAATAATCCTATCATGTACATGTTCTTTTTCAGAAAGATCATCAAGACCAGATACCTTTAGATTATTTTGAAAAGATATTACCACAGCTGGTAAGTGTTCGGGTCTTTCAGCTCCAGTACAGTTGGAGAATTAAGTTAAGCTTATCAAAGGGAAGTTGAGGTTACGCTTTTAGAGTTCTTCTATATCTGAAAAATGTGTTGGCATCAGCATTGCAGGTTATAGGTACAAAGCAGGTCTAATTCCCAATATTAAAGCCAATCTTGTATGAATGATTCATCTAGGGATGCTTTCTGTAGTCATTTATCATTTTCTGAATAGGTAGTGAGGTTAAAGATTGGTAGATCCATTGATAGGTAACATTAAACCTTATCTGACCAAATTTACACTGATGATCTAGCCAAGTTGCTCCGACATTTGCTGCATCTAACCTCTGTTTTTCCTCATAAGGTTTGGAATAGGTCCATTCTCAAGTACCGTAAATCTTGCAAAGATGGTACATTTAGCCTGTTTTGGGGTACTTTGCTGCCTCTAACTTTTATTTTCTGGATGAGTGACCAATTTCAATTTACTGAATTTAGACCAGTCAATTCCAAGGTAAATGTAAACCTGTCTGGACCAAACTTTCGTCTAGATTACATTCTCTTAAGCCTTGCTTCTTATGCTGCATATGATCAATATATTGAGAATTCAAAAAGCAAATCAAATCATTTTGAGGAGTTGAGTTTGCAAAGGATAGCCACTTGGACACCACATACTGTAGTTGAATAAAAGGTACTTAAGGAACATGTAAATTACAGTGCAAAATATGCTTCAGTTCTTAAAAACATTTCATGAAAAGCCTATAATTGAATTAACATAATCTGATACACATGTAATATAAATCTGTTCATTTGATTTGTAACATTTCCTAACATATGAGTAATACTCACAGAGACTACCTTCTTTAATATTGTACAACTTACAAGTGGAAATTTTAGCGAGATGCAAATTTAACTATTTGTCCTTAAAATTGGTATTTTATTTTTAATGAGATTTAACGTTAATGAATTTAAAAAGCTTACTAAAGAAGCTATTACAAAAAATACATGTAGTAAGCGTAATGAAATTTTAGCAACACCCAATTTTAGCCATCTTGGCACCCTCGCTAATAATTCCAAAATTAAATCCTTGCTAAAAATTCTGTTTATCATGTGTTTTATATGGTACTTATTAAATAACCTGTTTTTTGTTTTTAAAAAAGAATATTTGTTCTTTTTCAGTTGCTGGATTTTTGAAGAATTAAAATGTTAAGTTTTCATGAATGACTAAAATATAAAATTAATGAACATGTTGACTTGTTAAAATGGACAAATTAGCAGAGGAAAGCCATTCTCTTTAGTCAAATGCAAAACTGATAAATAACCATTTTGGAATTGTCTGAATATTTCTGTTCAATAAAAAATACATGTACATGTATATACAACAGTATTTTGTCTTTTTTAAAAAAAACACTTTATTCAATATGTGTATCATGTACATCTAAATCAACATGGTGACACAATAATTCAATTTTAATGTATGTACCCATACTCCTTCATTTAAAATCATATCTCTAATTAATTTAGACAATCGATTTGTATAATTTATCAAATATACAGATGATATTTCAATCAACTATAACCATATGTACAAATTATAATGTAAAGACATTTAAATAATAAAAGATTTTCTTCAGACTAAACCAGTAAAATTAAAGTAATCTACTTGGGAAAAAAAGTCAGTTGAATGACAAGGCTGTTTTTAAAAAGTTCTTTTCACTTTTTGGTCTTGCATAACTCTTCAGCACTTTCTATTTTAAAGAAGAGACTACCCTCAGCTTGGAGGAGGGGGTGGTGGGGCCCCGAGCATGCCTAAGGTATTCATGTCAATCCCTCCTGGGGGTGGTGGTGGGGGTACTGCCATGGGATTGTACCCTTGTTGGCCAGGTGGGGGTGGTGGAGGAGGTGCAACACCACTTGGCATTGGGGGAGGAGCTTGCCAAGGGGGCATATTGTTTGGAGGAGGTGGTGCTGGTTGCCACGGTGAGGTTGATGTTATGGGTGGTGGTGGCGGCACCCCTTGAGCTGTAAAAAGATTAATAACAGTAATTTCTGATTTTGTACAACCTTTTATTGGTACCTTTACTTTGAAATATATCAACATTCAACATAACTTTACCTTGCTGCATCCATGATACTGGGGGCTGACTGCTTGGTGGTGGTGGAGGTGGTGCAGACAACAAAGAGGGAGGCGGTACACCTGTTTAATTAAATACAAAAATCACCATCTGTATTAATATTCAGCAGAGAGGTGGAAGACTGGAAGTTAATTAAAAACTTGAAAAGAATAAATCTTTGTTTATCTAAAATTACATGTGATGGTTTTCAAGACTTTTATATCAGGTTTTCCATGAATGCCTTAATCTTTTATACTTTTGTAGGACTTTTGACTGTCAAAATTCAAGAGATATTTAAATCCTTTAATTAGGGGTCTCATTTGTTTTTAAATCTAAATCGACTTTAACTTACCCCCTCCTGCAGAAGACATGGCACTGTTCTGTGACACCATTGTGTTGGACTGCCAGGGAGGTGGTACTGGACCCGCTGCTGATGTGTAATGTGAGGGCGGGGCCACGGGGGCTGGCATCTGTCCGGGTGGCATGTGCATGTGTCCAGACTGCTGCATGCCCACTGGTTGCTGAATACTTGTTGATATTCCCATTGGAGGCTGTACCCCCTGTATATTGTAACTGACTGGGGGCTGGGTGGTAGTCTGGGATGTCTGTACTGGGGTGCTGAGACTGATGTTGGACACCACTTGTGGGGGTGGAGGACGAGCTTGCTGCTGCCAGGGTGGATTTATTGCCTACAAACACAACATAACATTAGTTATATTTTAAACAATCTGAAAACAGTTCTTCAAACATATATTATGTTCAAAGTAAAGATTAAATTGAAACCAAATCGCATAATTTGCATGAAAAGATTGAACATTATCAATAAGTATGGAATTCTGGATCACAAAACTTTAATTCAACTGCTTTACTGAGACAGCATTTTTATAAGAGGGCATGATAAATCTAATAGATGTGCCATGTATTGTTTATTACATAAATCAGACAGACATATAATGATAATAAATACTTATTTACATGTATTTCTATATAAGAACAAAAGTTTAACAAATAATTACCATAGGGTTTGGAGGAGGCTGACCGAAGGAGGGTCTAAATGACTGCACTGCTGGGGTGGGCTGTGTCTGAGTCTTGGGTGGGGGAGGACCCTCTCCTAACTCAGCCATCAGGGACATGTACTGCAACAAAAAGGATCAGTCAGAAATTGTTCATGAAACTTGTAAACTATACAAATTCCATTAAAAGCAATGTTCCTCTAAGATTCTTGATGAATAAAACTTCAGACTACCCAAGTTTTCGTAGAATCAGTAAAACTTATTACCTCACTGTCCATTTTAGCCTTGTCAGCTTGAGAGACAGGATTGGCATTCTGTGGATAATTCTTGAAAGAGTCACCAGGCCTGAAATAAGTTCTTTTTTTGGTTATATTTGGCTGATAGTATAATGTTCATGAACATCTAAGATCACATTTATAGCCTGAACCCATATTGGTAATACATTTTTACTTACTTTTTCGATTTACAGTCCTGTGCTATATGACCAGTCCCCCCACACAATGAACATATGATGGTGTTGGTGATGATGTTCTGAGCCTGTTGTAACTGTTTCAGTTTCCTGACAAATAAAGATAGACAAGTCTAGGTTATTCAAAACACACAATAAAAGCAAATAATAATGGCCAAGGATGAAGTGTATTTCAATTTGCTACAAAGTAGGACTTACTCCAAGGTCTAGGTAAAAGGATAAAAAAAAGTCAGTTTCAATAGAAAGTCTTGTTAATATAAGAAATAAACATTTGGAATATGACAGTCCTATTTCCAAGCATTCAGAAGTTATGGCCAAAGTAAAAGTTTTAAAAGTACATTGTATGTTGTCAAGAACTTTGTAAAGAGGACCTAAAATTTCCTTGGGCTGAAGTTGTAACTTTGTTGTCATAATTTGTAAGGTTTTTCCAATAAAATTTGCTACTTACGCAAGGCCATCATTTTCTCTTAAAGTTCCGTTAAGTAGGGCCAGCTCTCTAAGCTGCTGACGTCGCAAGTCATTTTGTCCTTCGGGAACCTCAATACCTTGAAGTATGATTTCCTTGATCTATAATATAGAGTTTAATGATATGCTTGAGTTCTTACAAAGATTGATGAGATATAAAAGAGAAAGATTCAACAAGTGGTACTGTGTGCACACTCATGCAATTTATTAATTTTGCTGATTTACTCTTAATTACCTTCTCCACTGCTTTTTTGACATTCTCTGGGTTATTCGCTGTTACATATGCATGAAGTGGCTCATCTTCACCAGGCAATGGTTGACCATCCTTTCTTCCTATTTTCCCCTCTTTAACTGAACCTTTACCTCGAATGATAATTTTCGCTCCAGTCTGTAACAAATGATTTGAAACTTAAAAGTCAAAAATCTTTCATATAAAACAAAAGTACACAAAATAAAATGAAGGAATCTTAATCAAACTTACATCTTTCTCTAAATTTTTGAGAGTGTTTCCTCTTGGTCCTATAAGGAGTCCCACAAAGTTGATCTCGGGGTGTTCATCCTGTGGTATCATGACTTTGTCATTCACTCGAATAATCGGAGGCCTAAAACAGCAAAATATTTCTATTAAAATTTGATTGCTCTCCACAATGAAACAGTTGGCAGCTCCAAAAGATTCATTAAAATTACATTATATAGACAGACAATGAATTTTACTTGTAATCTGCTGGGGGTTTGTAGTCACAGTTGAGGCCGATGGCTTGCTGAACCAGACGATGCCTCTCCTCCTCCAGATTTTTACGGGTCCTATATTCTCTCGTGTTTAGTCTCTTGCCTTCATTGTTGTAAATTGGCTCTGGAGAAGGTGACCTTCAAAATTAAAATTAAAATGCTCAGACTCCTGAGATTTTCTTACTTATCATAATTGTCCAATGATAATGATCCTATAGTACATGGAATGTTACCCAATTCTCACTCATGGGAAGGTTTCTCCTTTAAATTCTAAAAAAAAAAAAAATCCTAGCCCTTGGATCAAATTTTTTAATTGAATTTTCAGATACATGTATTTTCTTGACTGCTTCTATATGATTAATTTTAAGGACATACCCCCACCCCTGCAATTTCTTAATCTTTTCTCTCCAAGAAGTGCTTGTGAAGCACAATAGCTCTGGACATGTAGAAGACTTAAATGCATAATTTCGGAAACATGAAGTTTCTTTTTTTCAACAGTTTTCAAGATGCCACCTCTACATCTTATCTAATAATTACTTTTGTACATGTACATTGTCATTGGACTTATATGATAAGTCATGCAAATAATTCAAAAATTATGCAACTGAACATTCATCATGCAAATTTAAATTCTTTATTCAACAATGATTTTTCGTGAGAATATCAAAACTTTTAAGTCCGAAAGTTTTGAAAAATTAAAACATTATGAAATCAACTGGATTACGGTCTCCCAATAAGCTTAAGCTAAACATACATGTATGAACAGTACTTTTTCATTCATTTGTACCAGGTACTAATTTATCATGTTTATTTATGCTATAAAAATTGTTCTCAAAAATTTTCAAAATAAGAATTTGAAGACTAGATAAAATTTTCAATACCATAATTTGAAGATTCATAACACTATATGCTTTATTATTCCTAGTCTACCTGTACTAACAATTATGGAAATCAATTGGTAGTTTCAATAATTTAGTGAATTTATCCCCTCCCCTCCCAATCAAAATCTTCTTATTTTAATTAAAGGATTCTAATTTTCCCTTTTTCAAAAAATAACGCCCAACAAACGTTATAAGAAAATATACTAACTATAGTGTACCAGTAACAAAATTTTGAAATGAACCAAGTATCATGAAACAAAAATAAAAGCATCTGAAATTGAAACTCTCTGAAAAGGTGTGAGTTCTGTATTATTAACATAAAACTTAAACCTGAAATACTAGATAATTAATTATGGCAATATAAATTAGCCAGAAATGTATATAATGCTTCAATACATCAACAATTTTCAGAATGTGAGATAATTCATTAATGGACATAATATCAGAAATAGAACTGAAATGAAGGAATTTATGATCATAAATTAGTTGTACATGTTCATCAATTTCAAGCTTATTCAAGTTATAATCAACATGCTCTGAAATTAAGGGAATCAAATTACAGCACCTTCCTCGCTGATTGACCTTCACACAAAATCGTCATTAGCAAAATAGAAACACTGATTAGAACAAGTCCTAATTATACATATAAAACTATACCTGAAGGACATCGGGTAAAGGCACACACAATCAGTTGA